TTGTATTTCATCCATATATATTTATATACCTTGTAAGTAGATTGTAATTTTTCCCGGGAGGACTAGTTTCTGGTACAGCGCCACTCATCTTGTGAGTGGACACACCGCCATAGTGACAGTATTGGGCAGCGTCACTCATCCTGTGAGTGGACACACCGCCATAGTGACAGTATTGGGCAGCGTCACTCATCTTGTGAGTGAACACACCGCCATAGTGACAGTATTGGGCAGCGCCACTCATCCTGTGAGTGGACACACCGCCATAGTGACAGTATTGGGCAGCGCCACTCATCCTGTGAGTGGACACACCGCCATAGTGACAGTATTGGGCAGCGTCACTCATCCTGTGAGTGGACACACCGCCATAGTGACAGTATTGGGCAGCGTCACTCATCCTGTGAGTGGACACACCGTCATAGTGACAGTATTGGGCAGCGTCACTCATCCTGTGAGTGGACACACCGCCATAGTGACAGTATTGGGCAGCGCCACTCATCCTGTGAGTGGACACACCGCCATAGTGACAGTATTGGGCAGCGCCACTCATCCTGTGAGTGGACACACCGCCATAGTGACAGTATTGGGCAGCGTCACTCATCCTGTGAGTGGACACACCGCCATAGTGACAGTATTGGGCAGCGTCACTCATCCTGTGAGTGGACACACCGCCATAGTGACAGTATTGGGCAGCGCCACTCATCCTGTGAGTGGACACACCGCCATAGTGACAGTATTGGGCAGCGCCACTCATCCTGTGAGTGGACACACCGCCATAGTGACAGTATTGGGCAGCGCCACTCATCCTGTGAGTGGACACACGGCCATAGTGACAGTATTGGGCAGCGCCACTCATCCTGTGAGTGGACACACCGCCATAGTGACAGTATTGGGCAGCGCCACTCATCCTGTGAGTGGACACACCGCCATAGTGACAGTATTGGGCAGCGTCACTCATCCTGTGAGTGAACACACCGCCATAGTGACAGTATTGGGCAGCGCCACTCATCCTGTGAGTGGACACACCGCCATAGTGACAGTATTGGGCAGCGCCACTCATCCTGTGAGTGGACACATCGCCATAGTGACAGTATTGGGCAGCGCCACTCATCCTGTGAGTGGACACACCGCCATAGTGACAGTATTGTTGTTGTTGATTTAGGGTCGACGACTATCGTGGGATGGGATGCGCCCCGGGGTACCCGTTAAGGGTGAATCGCGAAGCCTGGAAAGGTGGAACGCCAAGCCAAATCGCAAAACGAGTGACGTCAATCGCTAGAAACTAATATGCCATACGGCAAATAAACGCACAATCAGGCAGATGATTGGGGAGTCCCAGGAGTCCCCCGGGGTGACAAGCACCGGCCCCGCCCCACACACACAACACTGGGGAGCCCCAGGAGTCCCCCGAGGTGACAAGCACCAGCCCCGCCCCACACACACAACACTGGGGAGTCCCAGGAGTCCCCCAGGGTGACAAACACCGGCCCCGCCCCACACACACAACACTGGGGAGCCCCAGGAGTCCCCCAGGGTGACAAGCACCGGCCCCGTCCCACACACACAACACTGGGGAGCCCCAGGAGTCCCCCGGGGTGACAAGCACCAGCCCCGCCCCACACACACAACACTGGGGAGTCCCAGGAGTCCCCCAGGGTGACAAGCACCGGCCCCGTCCCACACACACAACACTGGGGAGCCCCAGGAGTCCCCCAGGGTGACAAGCACCAGCCCCGTCCCACACACACAACACTGGGGAGCCCCAGGAGTCCCCCAGGGTGACAAGCACCGGCCCCGTCCCACACACACAACACTGGGGAGCCCCAGGAGTCCCCCAGGGTGACAAGCACCGGCCCCGTCCCACACAGAGAACACCAGGTACCCAAATAAAAACTCGATCCCCAACTAAAACGCAAAAAGTCATCCAGTGTCCTCCAGCAGAGCAGAAGCCGGCCGCCCACCACGACTGAGGGCACACCAGGAGCCCATCAAGACCCACCAACCCCCGGCACCTCTCGGCCAAGCCGACCCCCGAACACCGTCACCCCGCCGGGAGAACCAGCCAGTACACACCAAAAAATCTATCAACAATCCCGTGACCCAAGGCGATATGTGCGCCAGGCGTCGTACAATCGGACCGTTGAAGAGGGAAGCCAAACGGCAGTAGCAAAGCCAAAACGCGAAAACAGGACGTGATCCGGCGGCTCCCAGGCGGAGGTGGTGTCCAGACGTTCACTTGGCGTCAAGGTTGAACCAGGAGTCCTGACAGTACTGTGTTACTAGTTCTGAGAGTCTAAGACGTTTAGCAGAACAATAGTTAGCAGAATTTCGTGACGCAATCTACTCGTGGCGGCTTCCCTATTCTCTATTATCTTTTTATGACTAACTAATGTAAATTAATAACATCTTATGGCGGCTAGTAATGTTTGTATGTTAATGTCGGAATTTCCGACACACCCAATAAACTCGCCCCTCGGGGCGAAATTAAAATTACTATTGAAGCACACTATTATTATTATTATTATTATTATTATTGGATAAAAACCCACACTTGTGTATTTGTGAAATTTATGTAATGAATTGACACCAAGTCTTTCACTCTGCTGAGTACTTTGCCAAGGTCAGAGTGTGTGGTGAGGATCAGACTTACATCTCAACGTCTAATGAGTCTGCTACCCGTTATTGTTGTTATAGATTCAGCTACTCTGAACAGAACATTCGAAGTAGCACGGGCTATGGTGAGCCCAAAGTGGACTTGCCTGGACTTCACATAGATTATGTGAAATAATCTATAAAAGTAATCATATTATAGCTAGAAGGGTAGTGGAAAGGGGGTTCTAATAAATACTCTGAATACTTTACCTGGCAACAAAAGTTTTACCTCGGAGGATTGCTTTACTAGAAAAATGATTGAGTGAATTAAAATTAGGTCTCAATAAATGGTTGAATGAAAGCAGTCCCGTGAGCCTCGTTCCTTGGGGGTATGGAAATAGCTACGAGGGATACCATACAGATGAACACCTCTGTTAATACCAACTCCAGGTCCCAGAATAGCAGGACTACAGAGTGGACACGTGACCATAATTCCGTCGAAGACATTACCGTGGGTACATGGCAGGTGGGAATAGTGGTGACCTGGTCAAGGAAGATAAGAGGGCTGGACACAGGGTAGCAGCCGGGTCGGAGTACCCCTCCCGTGCCAGGTAAGTCCACTACGGGCTCACCATAGCCCGTGCTACTTGGAACTTGTTCCGAGTAGCTGAATCTATAACAACAACAACGGATAACAGCCTCATTAGGCGTTGAGATGAAAGTCTGGTCCTCACCACACACTCTGACCTTGACAAAGCACTCAGCAGTGTGTGAAAAACTTGGTGTAAAATCCTTACATAAATTTCACAAATACACAAGTGTGAATTTTTATCAAATAATAATAATAATAATAATAATAATAGTAATAATAATAATGTGCTTCCAGAGGTGTTGGTGAATTTCTTAACTTGTATTACCTGCTGCACAAGTTGGTGCAGATGCAGTGTTTGGTGTGTTTGACCCCTGCCAACACCACGGCTCCCTTTCCTGTAACTAAATTGTCCTCACTTAATTAGTTATATATATATATGTCGTACCTAGTAGCCAGAACGCACTTCTCAGCCTACTATGCAAGGCCCGATTTGCCTAATAAGCCAAGTTTTCCTGAATTAATATATTTTCTCTAATTTTTTTCTTATGAAATGATAAAGCTACCCATTTCATTATGTATGAGGTCAATTATTTTTTATTAGAGTTAAAATTAACGTAGATATATGACCGAACCTAACCTATCTTTATAGGTTAGGTAGCCGAAAAAGTTAGATTAGGTAGGTAGTCGAAAAACAATTTTATGAAAACTTGGCTTATTACGCAAATCGGGCCTTGCATAGTAGGCAAAGAAGTGCGTTCTGGCTACTAGGTACGACATTATATATATATAATATATATATATATATATATATATATATATATATATATATATATATATATATATATGCGAACAAGCCTGAATGGTCCCCAGGACAATATGCAACTGTATATATATATATATATATATATATATATATATATATATATATATATATATATATATATATATATATTCAGTTGCATATTGTCCTGGGGACCATTCAGGCTTGTTCACATTATATATATATATATATATATATATATATATATATATATATATATATATATATATATATATATATATATATATATAATGTGAACAAGCCTGAATGGTCCCCAGGACAATATGCAACTGAATATATATATATATATATATATATATATATATATAATATAATATAATATAAATATATATAATATAATATGCGAACAAGCCTGAACGGTCTCCAGGCATATATGCAACTGAAAACTCACACCCCAGAAGTGACTCGTTTTCAGTGGCATATATGCCTGGGGACCGTTCAGGGTTGTTCGCATTTGTGTTCCTCACGTGTGCCCCAAAGAATGAGGTGATTTGATAAATACCATGCCCAAGATTACCATCAGAGTGCCGGCGGGAAGATGGGGAATTAGCCTCGGCTACCATCCTCTTTTGTCCGGTCGTGTTACCTCTTTTGTCCGGTCGTGTTGGTCGAGTGGTTAAGGTGTCCTGTACGCCAGATGCAGAGTGCTCCTGGCAGTATGGGTTCGAGTCACTTCTGGGGGTGTGAGTTTTCAGTTATATAATATAATATATACAAGAAGATACATTGGGTTTTTGAGCGTACATAGCATTGATGTTCTTACATTCTTGTAAAACCACTAACACCCATAGCGTTTTAGGCAGGTCCTTAATCTAACAAATAATTTTAAGTAGGTAATTTCTAGCAAAATTGAGAAATGTTAACAGGTACATTGTAAGACAGTTTGACGAAGATTAGTTATACTTATTAGTTATCAGTTATACATTAAGGTCTGCTTCTTTGCATTTTACTATTAAACAGGTGTTGCTCTCCTTCCAGCAGGTTTTAGTGATCGTCAAGGTGTGACAGGATGCGACTAGCCAGCGGCCACACTGCCCTCAGCCTGGTGGGGGAGGAGCTGGAGCAGCAGCAGAAGGCCTTCCTCGGCTACTCTCCAGTAGGTCTGGTCCGTCTCACTCCCGGCAGGTGGCTCTTCCCCGCGTCCTACACCAAATATGCCGACAAACTCTACAACACCAAGGTAAACTGCCTTTGTTTACAAATTTAGGTTGAAGTGCATAAACATTCATAAAATCTAGCATTATCCTTGAAAACAACTGACCACTCGCCTATGTTTCTTATAGCAAATATGGGAAAAACGCCATCTGATACCAAGAAATTATTCTTCAGACTTCATCGCAAAACAACAATAGGAAGCCTCATAAATACAGTTCACAACATAAAATGTGAATCTTAACTAAATAATACACATGATATTAATTCCTTAACTGACATCTTACCCACCAAAATCCTAAGAACTAGTAAAAAGATGCTTAATAACACTCGCCAGTAAAATAGTTAAACTTTGCCTATTTTAAAAATAGATTTAAAGAAGCAAAAGGAAACGTGAAAAGCACACGAAAAACTTTCTTTAAACATCGTAAACAACTCTTGACATAATGCCGATTACACTTTCCAAAACTGAAATTTAACAGCTTCTTTTCATCAATTGGCATAAACCTTGCTAGTAATATTGCAGAGCCCCAGACACATGTAAAACACAAAACATAAACATTTGATTTAGGCCAAAGTAAATTGCATATATGCATAGGACACAAGCAGAGTGTTGTAGTCACAGGTTCAGAGGTACATACAATACAATACAATACAATACAATACAATACAATTTTATTTAGGTAAGGTACATACATACAATAAATATTTACAAGGATTGTTTAACTTATAGGTATAGCTAGTACATACAATGCCTAAAGCCACTATTACGCAAAGCGTTTCGGGCATGATAAACTTAAATGACAAGCTTAATACTAATTGAACATAATGAGTAGAATGAAAACAAGAAATGAAAACATAGATGAAAAAGCAGCACAAATACAATTATGTCGACAAACAGCGCTCTTTAAAGAAAAAAACAGACATTGGTTGACAATAGAAGGGTAAGGTAGGTTACAGGGAATTTATTAGGTATAGCTTCGCTTTTAACTTAAACTGGTTGAGAGAGGTACAGTCTTTAACATGGTTGGGAAGGTCATCACCTAAAGCCACTAATACACAGAGCGTTTTGGCCAAAATGTGGGAAAAACTTAAGACTAAGTGAGACTTAACCTTAAAACTTAAAACTAAGTGAGATCAAAACTAATGAAGTAGAGAAATATAAATAAAATGACAATTATTACACGATAGATGGAACATAAAAATTGCAACAGATAGTAATTTTACAGAATAAATATAATAAATTTAAGTAAATTTTTTACTTGGTAGAAAATAGCAGCAGTACAGGTTGTGTAATTAATGCTCAGTAACAGTAAAACATAAGTTGACATTTAGGAAGTAAAGGTAGGCTACATTAGCGTTGATTAGGTAGTTCTTAATTTCTCTTTTTATTCTGTTTGAGAGGAGAACAGTTTCTATGTGATTAGGGAGGTCATTAATGCCTCTCCGATAACGATCCTAATCCCCTATTCCTCTTGTCGCTCATCTTGACAGACGTTATTTACATAGTTCACTCATTAATAACCAAAGCTGGGAACAGTAGTCAAATACCAACTTATTATAATAATAATAATAATAATAATTTTATTTAGGTAAGGTACATACATAAAAAGATTTTACAAAGTTTGTTGGCTTTATAGATAGAGCTAGTACATACAATGCCTAAAGCCACTATTACGCAAAGCGTTTCGGGCAGAAACTAAGAAACAGAAACTAACTATTAGTAAGGTATCATTTTTACCTCCTCACACTTTTAGTTAACTTTTCTGTGGGGCGCCCCTCTGGCTCCCTTGAGCTATCGGACTGATATACGCTATATTGGTCTGGGGATCAGTCAATAGAGTTATGCCTACCGGGGACCACGAGACAGTACCTGGGCCCCCTCAGAGAGGCCCAGGGAGCAATGGCTTATGGAAACTTCCCCAAGTATAAATAATACAAATAAATGTTTATTTAGGTAAGGTACATACATACAAGAGATTTTACAAAGTTTGTTGGATTAATAGATAGAGCTAGTACATACAATGCCTAAAGCCACTATTACGCAAAGCGTTTCGGGCAGGAAAAACAATAATGACTAAAGCTTAATACTAATGGGTATAAAGAATAAAATGTGTTGAGAACAAATAAAAATAGAGGTAAAAGAGGGGGGAACATGGCTGAAAAAGCAGCACAAATACAATTACAAATTATTACAGACAATTACATTCAAACAGCGTTGTTTTGAAAAAAAAAAAACAGACATGGGTTGACAACAGAGGGGTAAGGTAGGTTACAGGGAATTTATTAGGTATAGCTTCGTTTTTATCTTAAACTGGTTGAGAGAGGTACAGTCTTTAACATGATTGGGAAGGTCATTCCACATTCTGGGTCCCTTGATTTATAGAGCATTTCTAGTTTGATTAAGTCGTACTCTAGGAATATCAAAACTGTATTTGTTTCTGGTGTGGTGCTCAAGTGTTTGGGAGCATTCCATGTCTGCCATCGACTGGGGTTAAGCACTCAGAACGGTAGGCATAACAAAACAAACCCCACTTAGTAAGAAGTTGCAACCTAAGACCGAACAGAGAGACAGAACTCCCCTAAAAATATAAGGAAACAAGCAAACATCATTCACCGCCGCTGCGCCACTTCTCCGTGCAGCCTTCCTCCCCCCAGGAGGGGGGGGGGGGGTCCTGGGAGGGGAAGAGGGGAGCCCCGATCCCAAGTACCAGCGACTCACACCTCAGTTCCAAGGCTGATGCGCTCTTGGGCGGTTGTCAACTCTGGCTTCGATTTCTTGGCAGAATTAATGCCTTTGTGGTGTTTTCTGCTTTTTGTAGTGTGGTGTGGTGGCCAGGAGTAACATCAGTGTACTGGGGCTGCATGCACTTAGGGCAGCCTTCGCTAAGCGCCCTGTAAGTACTACCCTTGTTCTCTATAAGGGTTGCTTTCCCTTAAGCCTTGAGACTCCACTTCCATAGAGGTTCTTGTTGCTTGGCATTTGCCCTGCTCTTGTGGTCAGCTGGGGTTTCGTGGCCTTTGTTTGGCCTTGGGTAGGAAGTGGTGGTGTTGCTGGTTGGAGCGCAGGGTGCTGCGTTGCACACTTACCTATACGGCGGCCGTGTTCCTGTTCCTTCTGGTGGCGTTGTACTTTTGCCGGGTATTTTCTTTTCTTTTTTTTCATCCCTGGTGTGGGGTCTGTCTTGTTTGACTATTAGTCCACCGAGGGTATTTTGGTGGTCCTCCTCTTGGTCTCCGTCATTGCACACGTCACAGGGCCTGGGTTTTCCATAGGCAAAACCCCCTACGGGCCCCTGGAAAACCCCGCCGGGGCTTGGTTGACTGATGGACGTGTTTTCTGTGTCCCACCTCACCTTATGGGAGTTTAAAAGTTGTACTGTACCCTTGTCTCAGGGTAACAGCCTCACCTGCTTTGCCTCCATCATGCTGCCTGTTGGGTCACAGCTAGACACCTTAGACCCGGAGTCTTGCGAGATGTGTTTTCTGCTCGTGCTCCAGTTTACCCATTCTACTGAGATTCGGGTTCAGGCGGCTTTCGTAATGCATGCTAGGGTCAGGTTGCTGCAATGCGCTAGGTTGGTTGCCAGCTTGGATGCCTCAGGGCGGCCCCGTTTTAGTTTTAGGGACCTGGGACTTGGAGCAGTTGGTTGCTTCGACTCTGGTTCAGTCCATGCCCGCAAATCCTTCCTCAGCTGGCGGTTTTCGCCCTGCTTCCCTCATTCCCTGCTCCCGGCTTCCAAACATCTGAGAGTTTCAGAGTCTGGGCGGGGTTTAGTTGATGAGAATCGGGGAGCTTCAGGGGCTACACCATTCGAGTTGGAGACGGAGGCATTCGAGCCTGTTCCTCCTGCTGAGGCTTCTGGGTCCTTTCAGCAGCCCCTTTTCTTTGCTGCCTTTCCCCCTGGACTCTGCATTTTCTTCAGGGGTAGAGGGTGTGGAGGACGGCTCTGCCCCAGGGCCAGGCTTGGAGGCTTCCGAGACTGGGGAGGAGTCACCCATGGGGGGCTGGGGCTCCCCTTTCATCCCATTTGGGTTTTGGTGCCCTTGTCGCGAGGTTTGTTGTTTCAGGGGGAGGGGTTTTCTTATCCCCCTTCCCTGTACGAGTTTGATTTAGGGTTATCTCCCCCACCCCCGGGTTTGGTTCCGGGGTTCCTTGGCTCTTTCTAGAGGTTTGCTGCCTCTCGAATCCTGCCTCAGGAGGTTCGGGAGGCTCTTGCGGCTTAACTCCTGCGAGACTCGGATTATGCCTATGTGATAGATCCGTCCTGTTTTGAGTATGGCTCTTCTTCTCCGTATTGGGTGTGTTATGAGGTCCAGGAGTTTTTCTGGCTTGCAGACTGCCCTCTCTTTTCACAGGGAGCATGGCATGGGTTTTGTCGGACCCGCACGCTCGAATGGCGGGAGGCTGCTACTGTTCTTCAGGTTTACTTGGGGAGCGATTTTGAGCGCCTTAATGCGTGCCTGTTCGGCCCTGTGCTTCCTCTGGATGTTGGCCATGTGCAATTGCACGTGCAGGTTCCCACCCTTTCGGTTTGGTAGTTTAGGATTTGCACGCTCGTGGGCCTTTGGCCTCGGTCTTGCGCATCTTTTTCCTTTTCGAGTTGTCCTCATACTGGCTTGGGGAGGCGTTGAGTGCCGGGCCTTCATCTCGTATGCTGGCCTCGGTGGCTAGGGTGTCTGCCGTGCTGTTGAAGCTGTTTGCGCTGATTCTCAGGGAGGTGGGGTCTCTGTTCTTAGCCTCTCGCCTCCTGTTTCACTCTCGGGCCTCTCGGAAGGGTTGTGCCAGTGCTCTGGGTTCTTCTAGTTTGGATGTGCCTTTGGTTCCCGTTTCTGAGCTGGGGCATCCTTGGAGCTGGCGTTGTTTGGTCGGCGCAATGCTCACTCTGCTTGTCGATCGGCTTCTCGTAATGGGCATGAGCCCTTTCCCGGGTCGCCAAATTGACAGGGTGCTGGCGAAGAGACTTGCGCTGTTTGCTCACACCTGTGTCCTTCTGTTAAGCTCACAGCATGGTGTGGGAGTTCGTGGCAGTTTGGCTGCCGCTTCGAAGTGTATGGGTTGCTTGGGGTTCTACAATCCAACTCCATTCAGACTGATCTCCGGTGGTTCATTCTCTAAACCACGGGGGTTCTCTTTGGTTCTTGGCTCTTTGGGGCTGGTTGCTTTGAGTTACTCGTCTGCTGGATTCTCGGGGTTTGGCTCTCCATGTGGTTCACATCCTGAGTGTGTCCAACATCCTGGAGGATGGCCTGCCACGGTTCATTCACCTGTCCACAGAATAGACGGTCGACGCCGACTCCTTCAGTTTTTTTTATTTATATATACAAGAGTTCTTACATTCTTGTACAGCCACTAATACGCATAGCATTTCGGGCAAGTCCTTAATCCTATGTTCCCTGCAATACGATCCCCGCCGCGAAGAATCGTTTTTACAACCAAGTACCCATTTTACTGTTGAGTTAAACAGAGGCTACAGTTAAGGATTTGCGCCCAGTAAATCCTCCCCGGCCAGGATACGAACCCAGGACAAAGGGTTCACGGAACGCCAGGTGAGCGTCTTACCACTACGCCACGGAGACTGGTTGGTGTAGTTGGCTCTGCCAAACGTTCAGGCTTCCGGAGGTGGACCTCTTCGCGTTGGTGTGGTCTTGGCATCTCTCAATATATGTGGCACTGTTACGGCCCTATTGGGTCGCAACTGGGTTCTTTTTCTGTTACTAGAGTTTGGGTATCCGGCCCCAAGTTAGTAGCGGCTTTCAAGGGGTGTGTTCCGTAACGCAAGTAAATTAAAGGGGAAGGGATACAAATGCACAAAATTAAATATATATTGCTACCACCACCATAAATAAATATATCACAGTCACACGCGGGGTTGCTATTACAACACTTCTTATTTACAATAACTCTTCTTCCTCCGAAGACACGGGATGCTCCACGGTGCTCACGATGAGTAGCCCTGGTCCTCTTCTCGTGGCCTCACCATGAATCCTCAGATTCTCTAGACGAGTTTACCCCGGCCACAGGCCAGCCAAATCACAGTCCCACTGGGTGCACCGTCGTGGAGGCCTTCAACCACAAATCCAGCCTGTAGCTGGCAGGTTCCAATCAGCTACGCTGCGTAGGCCACTCCACGACCGATACTAGGGTTGCGAGCCCTAGGCAGGAGCCTCGTGTGATTCCACAGATCACTCTCCTCACCACAACACCCTAGTGGCTAGTCTTCTCCACCAGTCAGCCCCGGGTACGACAATCCCTGGTTCTGCCACCTCACAGGCAGGCTAACACAACAGTGTTCATCCGGGGGGTGACTCACAGCTTCTGCAGCAAATGCGTGGAGATACTACGGCTGCCTTGGGTAGACTGACCATCGTCCAATCCAGCAGTCCCAGGTCGACTCTGTAATCAGACACATCATTAGTACTAATTACACTCTAGGGCACCTCACTCACAGGCTTAGACACAAACGCCCACCTATCCACTTCATAGATGGCGTTGTTGTCTAAGCGTCACCTCACCAGAGGGCAGCAGCGGCTATGTCACGAGCTGATTAGGACGGGAAACCAGCCCCTGTGGCCGGTATATCTCGTCCTCACTAGATGGCGCCGTCCATTTGGAGGGGGTTTTGGGAGCTGACCCACAGATGGCATGGTCGTCACTGCTCCGTGCTCGGACGCTGGACTCGGGTCCGTAACAGGCACCTTTCGCCGACTGCGGAACCTTCGCAGTGGACGTCTTTCGACAGGACTGGTCGAGGTGGGGTTACTATACCTCTTTCCCCTGGTCCGGCTGTTGATTTGGGTTCTGGCTCTTTTGGAGTCTTCACGTGGGAGAGTCGTCCTTGTGGCTCCTGGTGGCCGGCCAGCCTTGGTTTCAGGCGCTGCTCGCTCGGTGTTCGAATCCAAGGCGTTTTCCGTAGCTCCATCTCTTTCAGCAGCTCGGACCGGTCTGGTACATGGCTGGTTCAGTCTACTCGTTCGTTCTTCGCGTCTGGTCTTTTTGATATGGGGTTTATCACCACTTGTATGGTGATCAGGTGGCTTCATTGATAGTGTCCCACCTGCAAGCTTCATCTCAGTAACACCTATGACGTTTCCTGGTGTTCTTTTCACCATTTCTTGTCATCGTAGGTTGTCTTCTATTTCTGTTCGGATTGTTTTGTCAATTCTTGTTTGGCTCATTCGGGACCTTATATCATGCGGCACTGGCAGAGCCGCTCCAGCTTGCATTCAGGGTGGATGACACTTTTGCCCTGTTTCGTAAGCTTTCTAGTGCTTTCATCTCTGGCCTGCTCATGCGCCGCCTGAGCCGTCCTGGTCCTTGGACAGGGTGCTCTCTTTTTCTTGGTTTGTGGTGGCCCCTTCGGTTCAAGAGTGTTTTTCCAAAGCTCTGTTCTGTTGGCATTGGCCTCTCAGGGTCAGGTTGGTAAGCTTCATGCTCTCCAAGTTCTAAGACTTGGGTCTCTCAAATCGTCTGCAGGGTTATTAGGTTTATAACACAAAAGTGTTATAAACATTTGCCTTATTCAAAAAATAAACCCAAAAAGTACTTAATTTCATCTTCATAATTTCCTACCTTGTGCTTGAAACTTGCACTGTATCTAGTGCTACCCAATCCCCCAATATATGTACCAATGCCATACAACTTTACCATTGTAATAATTGTTTTTATCTTATATCATGTTATACACATAGTTTGCTACATTATATCTTACAATAATCCTCAAATTATGCTAAAATGTACCTATGGAATCCTTAAATTTACTTTAATGTTCGTACTTTTTTTCTGTCAAATTTCTTATACAATGTATTTTTTATACTTTCTTACAATGTATTTTAATACTTTCTTTCAATGTACCTGTAAATATTTTTTAATTTTGCTAGAAATTACCTTCTTAAAATTATTGTTAGATTAAGGACCTGTCCGAAACGCTATGCGTCTAGTGGCTGTACAAGAATGTAAAACTTAGTCTCTGTACTCTAATAAACCCAATGTACCATCTTGTATATAAATAATTAAATAAATTAAGTAAATAAGTAAATATATCAAAGATCAAATCTACAGGCAGCTTGACTAGGGTGCGAACCTGTGTGGCGGGAGTGTTCAGACGCGGTCTAGTCGACTACACTACGACACGGTAAAATAATTTCAACCTGGAGCACCAATTTACCCCCCAGGAACCACATCCACAAGTGGAAGCCTCAGGATCCTTGAGGGTGAAGTAGGACTCCAGGTTATAATTCTTTTACCATGTCGTGGTGTGGTCGACTAGAGCACGTCTGGGGAGCACCCTCCACATTGGTTCGCGCCGTCATCAAGGCTCCTGTGAAGTTGTTCAATGTACCTATTATAATGCTTAATTGTTAGCTTAAGGACCTGCCTAAAATGCTAGGTATTCTAGTGACTTTGTAAGAATGAACTACTCACCTAGCAATATACGTACTTTGACAACTCATTGTATCTTCTTGTACGAAACTTATCTGGCAGGAGTGACTGTGTCTGGCTGGCCAGACTTTGACTAAGACAGGGGTTACAGGACCTGGCTGACCAGACCTTGACTAAGACAGGGGTTACAGGACCTGACCTGACCAGACCTTGACTAAGACAGGGGTTACAGGACCAGACCTTGACTAAGACAGGGGTTACAGGACCTGGCTGACCAGACCTTGACTAAGACAGGGGTTACAGGACCTGGCTGACCAGACCTTGACTAAGACAGGGGTTACAGGACCTGGCCTGACCAGACCTTGACTAAGACAGGGGTTACAGGACCTGGCTGACCAGACCTTGACTAAGGCAGGGGTTACAGGACCTGGCTGACCAGACCTTGACTAAGGCAGGGGTTACAGGGCCTGGCTGACCAGACCTTGACTAAGACAGGGGTTACAGGGCCTGGCTGACCAGACCTTGACTAAGACAGGGGTTACAGGACCTGGCTGACCAGACCTTGACTAAGACAGGGGTTACAGAACCTGGCTGACCAGACCTTGACTAAGACAGGGGTTACAGGACCTGGCTGACCAGACCTTGACTAAGGCAGGGGTTACAGGGCCTGGCTGACCAGACCTTGACTAAGGCAGGGGTTACAGGACCTGGCTGACCAGACCTTGACTAAGGCAGGGGTTACAGGGCCTGGCTGACCAGACCTTGACTAAGGCAGGGGTTACAGGACCTGGCCTGACCAGACCTTGACTAAGACAGGGGTTACAGGACCTGGCTGACCAGACCTTGTATCAGGGCGGTAAAGAAGTGTTTCTCTGGCAGTTCCGAGGGAGTGATGTTGTGGTGATGACGTACCCCAAGTGTGGCACCACCTGGATGCAGGAGATTGTATGGACCATGAGGAACAACCCGGACCTCAAGCACCCCATGGCCCGTCTTCCAGTCAACGCCCGCTGCCCCTTCATAGAGTGAGTGTGTGTGACTGTCCTCTGATGTTAGCCTGGAAGTTTGGGACTTGTCAGAGGGGATTTTGATGCAGATTCTACTTACAACTCATTTAATTAAATTGTAATTAGAGCACTGGAATGTAGTACACCATGCAAATGAATTAGAATGAATAATAATGACAAAATGGATAACCCAGGGGCTTACCCTGGAAACACAAACCGAAACTGTCTCTATTTTCCGCTTGTTACAACTTGTAATAAAGTTGTTACATCTTGGTTTAGCGTGTTTATGACGTATTAGAACGTTGTTACAACTTGCTATATTGGTTGTTATAACTGGTTAGGAAGTGTTAAAACTTGTTCGAACGTTGTACCAACGTCGTACTTTCGGTGTGTGATTGGCGGGTTAAGTCCCTGGGTTATAAAAATATGAAATGATTTTCAAAATATTTTTTTCAGCAAATATGAAGCCTTTTATAAAAAGGCTACTCATATGTAAATTCAAAATGGGAAAGGGTATCTAGAAAACTTTTATCATACAATATTGTCAAAAATGGTTACAGAATAGGTTCAAAAAGCAAAATGGATATGGCTGGACAGGCATACATAACTCAAATGTTTCTTCTAGTTATCTCTAGATGTTGAAAGATTTCTCTGTAGTCTTTCAACAAAGACTACAGGGAAGATTGGTCCTATTTGGAAAATATGTCAAGTAACTGATAATGACAAAGAAATGAGTGACATTCTAAATAAATACTTTGTCTCGGTATTTACTAGAGAAAAGTTTGTTTTGCGAAAACCTGAACAAATAAAGTATATAGGTAATGAAGAAGACAAGTTTATATCTTTAGTCATTACAAAGAAGGAAGTCATTAAACAAAAATTAAAACCAAAGAAGTCCCCAGGACCAGACGAAGGCTTTGCCAGGGTCCTAAAAGAATATGAAAACGAGGTAAGTGAACTCTTGACTTTAATATTTAAGAAACCATTCCAGTTGAGCAGACTATCAGAATCCTGACGTGTCAGTGTTGAGTGTCATGGAGATGGCCAGTGTTGTGCCATATCTTTATATTGAAGTAATCAACCAACTAGCCTTATGTAACCCCTTCCTCAGTCCAAGTCCATTCCATCCAGCAGTCGAACCCCCAAGACTGCATTCATCCATTTTAACATGTTCACTCAAAATAGGAGTTTTCTCAAATATAAATTAATATCGTTATATATATATATAAGCATACTGTGCATATTTAGGCATTGCTTAGGTGTTTAGGTTCTGTTGGCAGTTATTTGAATATGTAGTACGTGGATGAAGCATTCACAGGGTCGTGGTTCGAACGAAAGCCGCCAGGAAAGCACTTGTTCGAAAAGTGTTCGAACGTCATCAGTTGCGAATCGTGTAAATTGCTTTTCATATATTCATATATTTCATTCATATATTCATGCATATATACATTCATATATTCATATATTTCATTCATATATTCATGCATATATACATTCATATATTCATATATTTCATTCATATATTCATTCATATATTTCATTTATATATTCATTCATATATACATTCATATACACATTCATATACACATTCATATACACATTCATATACACATTCATATACACATTCATATACACATTCATATACACATTCATATACACATTCATATACACATTCATATACACATTCATATACACATTCATATACACATTCATATACACATTCATATACACATTCATATACACATTCATATACAGGGGGTTTGGCAGATGCCTGGAATGGATTTTGCCCTTTGTTCATGTGAGCGGGCTGCCTTTTGCCCCGTTGTTCATGTGAGCGGGCTGCCTTTTGCCCCGTTGTTCATGTGAGCGGGCTGCCTTTTGCCCTTTGTTCATGTGAGCGGGCTGCCTTTTGCCCCGTTGTTCATGTGAGCGGGCTGCCTTTTGCCCTTTGTTCATGTGAGCGGGCTGCCTTTTGCCCCGTTGTTCATGTGAGCGGGCTGCCTTTTGCCCTTTGTTCATGTGAGCGGGCTGCCTTTTGCCCTTTGTTCATGTGAGCGGGCTGCCTTTTGCCCCGTTGTTCATGTGAGCGGGCTGCCTTTTGCCCTTTGTTTATGTGAGCGGGCTGCCTTTTGCCCCGTTGTTCATGTGAGCGGGCTGCCTTTTGCCCTTTGTTCATGTGAGCGGGCTGCCTTTTGCCCCGTTGTTCATGTGAGCGGGCTGCCTTTTGCCCTTTGTTCATGTGAGCGGGCTGCCTTTTGCCCTTTGTTCATGTGAGCGGGCTGCCTTTTGCCCTTTGTTCATGTGAGCGGGCTGCCTTTTGCCCTTTGTTCATGTGAGCGGGCTGCCTTTTGCCCCGTTGTTCATGTGAGCGGGCTGCCTTACGTCAAATTTAGAAAACTGGCATGAATCGATAATTGGAAAATCCCTTAAAGCCTCTAACTATTGCAGCTATTTATAGATTTCCCATTACTAACACAGCTGCATTCTCAGATAACCTAAGGAATCTAATTATAAACAATAAACTCCACAAAACTCGCATAACCCTAGGAGGTGACTTCAACACTGACCTTTGTCAACAAAACAGTCGAATACTGTACTTCCTAAACAGCATGAACTCCTTGTATGCTAATCCCCACGATCACCAAGCCCACCCGAATCACTCAAATATCCACTACAACCTTGGATCACTTATGGATAAACTTAACAGCCACCTCTTGCCTCTGGTATAATCACTGACAGAACAACTGACCACTGTCTTACCTTCCTCATAGCAAACATGAACATAACACCATCAGATACCAAGAAACTTACCTTCAGGCCACACTGCAAAACAGAAATAGGCAATTTCACAAATGCACTTCACAATATAAACTGGGAATCTGAATTCAACAATACACAGGATATAAATTCATTAGCCAACATCTTCCTTTCTAAAACTCCAAGCCTCTACAACACTCACTCTCTTCTCCTCACCAAGCAAGTAACTGCCAAGAGATGAAATAATCCCTGGCTCACAAGTGGCATACTTGTGAGCCAGGGGGAATCAAAGCAATCGACAAGAAACACGAATATGAAAAAACATAGGATTGCCAAAGTTACAAAAGAAGCTTGAATAGCTTCTTTTCCTCAATTGGTGCTAACCTTGCCAGAAACCCAGACATATGTCACCACATACTTCACCGGCAGCTATCTTAAGTCTATTCTTTTTACCAGTCAGCCCGACAGACATTATATCCATAATTCACTCACTCAAAAGCAAAGTTGCAAACATTAGTGAAATAGTATATATGGTATATAAGAGTGCCGCTCATGCCCTTGCACCACCCATAGCTCTGCTAGTCAACAAATCGCACTTCACGCGCACGACTCCTTCCCAATCTCTTTCTTTTCAGGCATTGTTTGGTCCTGCCACGTGGCGTATTTTGATTTTAGTCATGTTGACCCTACTTGTCCTGATGATTTATTCCTCCAAAAACACCATGTTGATTTCTTGTATACTTTTGTCACCTTTAACCCTAACTGTACTGGTATCCGATTTGTTGCAGTCTCTTCTCAGGAAGCGGCTGACCGCTTGGCTTCGTTGTCCTGCGTCGGGGAGACCCCTGTTCAGATCTCCAAAAATACCTGGTTGAATGCCTGCATTGGCACAGTTCTTCTCCTGCACCATGTTGCGACTGGTGACAGGGAACTGAAAGACTTCCACGAGGATATTAAACGTGTTCTTGAGGCCCAAGGGCATTCTATCCTCCAGATTGATGCGTCACTCGACCACCTCATGGTCGTCGTCAGCCTCTTCGCGTGTAAAGGTCACGTTTGATAGTCGGTCCCTTCCATCTTCCGTCATTCTTGCTGGTGCCAGATGCTCCGTTCAGGAGTACATCTCTCCTCGCCTCTGTTGCAGGTGCTGGAGACTTGGGCATGGTTCCTTCAGGTGCAAAAAGTGAAGGGTTTCTATGCCCCTTTTGGTGACAATCACCTCAAGTCATTCTAAGATGCCGTGCCCTTCTTCCTAAGCTCACTGCAACAGTTGCGGTGACGCCCACCCTGCCTTCTCCCGAGCATGTGTGCACTACAAATTTGAGGAAGCCACCCTCCTTCGTGATGATTTGTCTTTTCCTGAGCCAAGAAGCCAGGTTCGCTGTCTTCCCTCTTTCTCTGGCATGTCTTATGCTTGTGTGTTGCATTCCTCTTCTCGCCCTCTTCCGCTTTCTCAGTTTCGCAACTGTTTCGAGTCCTTGGACCCCGACACCTCCTCGTCTGCAGGAGGTGTCGGGGTGAAAAGGAGCAGATGACACCACATCGTCTGTTCCTTTGCGTTCTGGGGTAGAGGATAATGTGATAATTGAGTGTCATAGAAATAATTTCATTTGAAACTTGTAGTTGTAGTGAATTATTGAAAACACTGCAAACCAGACATGAGAAGGCTCTTTGAAACCTTTAAAATACTGAGCGATTTCGAGTATATAAATCCACAAACTTCTTTAAAAGGTCAAATCTAATGCACACAATAACTCCAAACTCAACAAGCAACATTTTCAAGTGTTATTACAACTATTCTTCAGCATACTGTAATAATGTATTAATGCATTATCAGTGTATGACAATTTACGTACTCACCTGTCTTCCCATTTGCTTCTCAGTATGGACATGTTGCTGGAGCTCGGTCAATCAGCCAATGAATTCCGTGCTTTGCTGGAAGCTCACCTACAGAAGTTGGCTCCGGGGGTGGAGCCCCAGGAGGGCATAGTCATGCAGCTGGCGGAGGTCGCTCCTGATCCACGCACAATGAAGACCCACCTTCCACCCTCTCTCCTCACCCCAGACCTCCTTGACACTGCTAAGGTCAGTAACCTGTGCTGCATACACACCTGTACCTTACTTTTCAATGTATATACTCAGGGGGCCTGTCACCCCCACACTAGCATGGTCTGTCACCCCCACTGTTAAATATTGTGGGAGGTGTCTGTACTATGGGGCCTAGTATTATCTGGATGTAGGGGCAATAGTAAGCATTAAGAGTTATCAAATATGGGAGAACTAAAAGGCCCGGCCCCCCAAAAAAACTATCCACAGTAATAATAACTTGCTACTAGACCATGTCAGACTAGAGGTTGATCCTAGCACTCCCACACAGGAAGAAGGGATACTCCGTTACTAACTTACTTATTAACCCCTTAACAACCCCCCATATACACTCACACCAATAACAATAATAATAATTACTTTACCACACTATCTTACGTTAAAAGCCTTGGTCCACATAGACAGGATACAAGGTTTACACTGTCAACAAACTAGGGTAAAGTACTACTGGATAAGCACTGAAGCTTGATGCAGCTTAGGGTAGTGAGACCACGTGGTACCCTAATACCAAAACACAACACTTGGGGGTACCCAAAACACTGGCAAATACTATCCCCAGGTCTCACCAATCGTTACTACCAGAGTAGGCACACTTAAAAGACACCGTACTTAACTTAATAGTACAGGAACTTAAGGTAGGGGAAATAAGTAAGAGGAGGAGAGTAGGGGTGCAGCCACAGAGTAAGTCTCGACACCACGAACGCCAGCCAGAGAAGAACGCTCGCAGCGACCAGCTCAGGCCTCCCGCATTGTGGTGGTGCCGGGAGGAGCCTAATTGATCGTGCAGCTAAACACATTAAAAATCTTCCCCTATGCAACATATTGTTACTTTCCTCGTTCTCAGGGTAGTTAATCTTATAACAATGTTATACTTAATCCACAACAAGCTCAAGAGTTTGAATGCTTGTGAGCAACAAGATTCGTCCTACGTTTGGCAGGGAAGATACGAACAGACACACATCGACTTGCGTCTTGCTAATCTAACGTAGCTTATTTAGTTCAATTTTGACCTCTGGTTTCCACTTGAGGAACCCAGGGTCGTAACACCCACACTAGCATGGACTGTCACCCCCACACTAGCATGGTCAGTCACCCCCCACACTAGCATGGTCAGTCACCCCCACACTAGCATGGTCTGTCACCCCCACACTAGCATGGTCTGTCACCCCCCACACTAGCATGGTCTGTCACCCCCACACTAGCATGGTCTGTCACCCCCACACTAGCATGGTCTGTCACCCCCACACTAGCATGGTCTGTCACCCCCACACTAGCATGGTCTGTCACCCCCCACACTAGCATGGTCTGTCACCCCCCACACTAGCATGGTCTGTCACCCCCACACTACATGGTCTGTCACCCCCACACTAGCATGGTCTGTCACCCCCACACTAGCATGGTCTGTCACCCCCACACTAGCATGGTCTGTCACCCCCACACTAGCATGGTCTGTCACCCCCCACACTAGCATGGTCTGTCACCCCCCACACTAGCATGGTCTGTCACCCCCCACACTAGCATGGTCTGTCACCCCCCACACTAGCATGGTCTGTCACCCCCCACACTAGCATGGTCTGTCACCCCCCACACTAGCATGGTCTGTCACCCCCCACACTAGCATGGTCTGTCACCCCCCACACTAGCATGGTCTGTCACCCCCCACACTAGCATGGTCTGTCACCCCCCCCCCACACTAGCATGGTCTGTCACCCCCCACACTAGCATGGTCTGTCACCCCCCACACTAGCATGGTCTGTCACCCCCCACACTAGCATGGTCTGTCACCCCCCACACTAGCATGGTCTGTCACCCCCCACACTAGCATGGTCTGTCACCCCCCACACTAGCATGGTCTGTCACCCCCCACACTAGCATGGTCTGTCACCCCCCACACTAGCATGGTCTGTCACCCCCCACACTAGCATGGTCTGTCACCCCCCACACTAGCATGGTCTGTCACCCCCCACACTAGCATGGTCTGTCACCCCCCACACTAGCATGGTCTGTCACCCCCCACACTAGCATGGTCTGTCACCCCCCACACTAGCATGGTCTGTCACCCCCCACACTAGCATGGTCTGTCACCCCCCACACTAGCATGGTCTGTCACCCCCCACACTAGCATGGTCTGTCACACTAGCATGGTCTGTCACCCCCCACACTAGCATGGTCTGTCACCCCCCACACTAGCATGGTCTGTCACCCCCCACACTAGCATGGTCTGTCACCCCCCACACTAGCATGGTCTGTCACCCCCCACACTAGCATGGTCTGTCACCCCCCACACTAGCATGGTCTGTCACCCCCCACACTAGCATGGTCTGTCACCCCCCACACTAGCATGGTCTGTCACCCCCCACACTAGCATGGTCTGTCACCCCCCACACTAGCATGGTCTGTCACCCCCCACTAGCATGGTCTGTCACACTAGCATGGTCTGTCACCCCCCACACTAGCATGGTCTGTCACCCCCCACACTAGCATGGTCTGTCACCCCCCACACTAGCATGGTCTGTCACCCCCCACACTAGCATGGTCTGTCACCCCCCACACTAGCATGGTCTGTCACCCCCCACACTAGCATGGTCTGTCACCCCCCACACTAGCATGGTCTGTCACCCCCCACACTAGCATGGTCTGTCACCCCCCACACTAGCATGGTCTGTCACCCCCCACACTAGCATGGTCTGTCACCCCCCACACTAGCATGGTCTGTCACCCCCCACACTAGCATGGTCAGTCACCCCCCACACTAGCATGGTCTGTCACCCCCCACACTAGCATGGTCTGTCACCCCCCCCACACTAGCATGGTCTGTCACCCCCCCCCCACACTAGCATGGTCTGTCACCCCCCACACTAGCATGGTCAGTCACCCCCCCCCCCACACTAGCATGGTCTGTCACCCCCCCCCACACTAGCATGGTCTGTCACCCCCACACTAGCATGGTCTGTCACCCCCCACACTAGCATGGTCTGTCACCCCCCACACTAGCATGGTCTGTCACCCCCACACTAGCATGGTCTGTCACCCCCCCCACACTAGCATGGTCTGTCACCCCCCCCCACACTCCACACTAGCATGGTCTGTCACCCCCCCCCCACACTAGCATGGTCTGTCACCCCCCACACTAGCATGGTCAGTCACCCCCACACTAGCATGGTCAGTCACCCCCCACACTAGCATGGTCTGTCACCCCCCACACTAGCATGGTCTGTCACCCCCCACACTAGCATGGTCTGTCACCCCCCACACTAGCATGGTCTGTCACCCCCCACACTAGCATGGTCTGTCACCCCCCACACTAGCATGGTCTGTCACCCCCCCCCACACTAGCATGGTCTGTCACCCCCCACACTAGCATGGTCTGTCACCCCCCACACTAGCATGGTCAGTCACCCCCACACTAGCATGGTCTGTCGGCAGGTATTCTTCATATGTGTGGCAGATATGCAGGTATACTGCCGTATATTCTATGATTATATCCTAGCAATTGATAATACTTCCTAATTAAAAAGAATAATGTTATCAGGGATGATAAATTCTATATCCTAGCTCCTGAAAATACTACTTAATTAAAGCGTATAATGTTGTCAGGGATAATAGATTAATGGATTGTAGACAGCCTAACTTCTGGCTATATTCTACTAATTATACTGGTTCGTAATTGATTACGAAGATCCCGGTTCAAAGAACCATAAAATATGTTGGGAAAATCTATCTCTAGTTTATATGCTAATAAAATAATGTTTAATTCTAATATGCTCGAAGGACCAGAATACTATTCTAAATGAGAGAACCAGTGGCTTATGGATCTCTATGATTAAATGCAATTCAATTCTAAAGATTCTATTATCATGCAATTAATGAACTGTAAATTGTATAAAATTCTAAGGGGCCTCGTAGCCTGGTAGATAGCGCGCAGGACTCGTAATTCTGTGGCGCGGGTTCGATTCCCGCACGAGGCAGAAACAAATGGGCAAAGTTTCTTTCACCCTGAATGTCCCTGTTACCTAGCAGTAAATAGGTACCTGGGAGTTAGTCAGCTGTCACGGGCTGCTTCCTGGGGTGTGTGTGTGTGGAAAAAAAGTAGTTAGTAAACAGTTGATTGACAGTTGAGAGGCGGGCCGAAAGAGCAAAGCTCAACCCCCGCAAACACAACTAGGTGAATACATTTGGAGGGGGGGGGGGGGTTATTCTATAAGGTTAGTCTACGTAATGCATGTAATGTATAATAAATTGAATACGTGATAAAAATAAGAAATGCATGTATATAGATTATAAATCATAAATTATACAATGGTTAGTTAAATGCAATGTTTGTCTTCTAGAAACGAGAAAGACAGCTTATCTGTTGAGTAAGTATGACAGTGTGAGTCTCGCAAGTCGTATATCAAGTATGTTTATTGAGACAAGAAAAATATACATCTCAAAGGGATAAGAGTAGCTTAGGCTATATCTACCCCCCTAGAGGGAAACTTATTGTACAGCTACTGGAGGAACCACGTGATCGTGGAAGACGTTGCTGTCTCGCATGCAAATTCAAATTCAAATGTTTATTTAGGTAAAGTACATACATACAAGGGGTGATACAGATATTGATGGATTTATAGATAGAGCTAGTACATACAATGCCTAAAGCCACTATTACGCAAAGTGTTTCGGGCAGGAAAAACACATAAACATGCGTTGGTACTCCAGCTGAAATACAAATATTACGTAAATTCCACTCCAAACCCTAGAATCATTCATTTAATAGTCAATTCTAAATAGATTTGGCGATCTACAGTACACTTACGTAGGATTATATGTTGTCAAACGTCGTCACGACAGGGAAATAACCTAATTAAATTTTAAAGGCCTGTAAAATCACTTAAGGATACTTCTCTTCCCTGCCGAACGTGGTGTCCGTAAATAATTGAAGTTGCAGAATCAGTCTGGAGCCTGTAGGTAGCCAGATGCTCCAAATTTAGACCGATGTCATATACGCCAACTTCAGAACACCTATACAATGGCGGTTCTCGTGCGTCTCTCTCCTTCCTCCTCGGGTGGCGCATGCGCAACAGCTCCCAAAGCTGGGATCCCGAGTATAATAATATGAAGGAAATGGAGTATGACGACTATTTACGTCATAAATAAATGTTTTATACGGCAACAATTATTTTCTCGTAATGCAGTCAATTAATTTAGACGATATTAAATGAACGAAAAAGGATTTAAAGTGGAGATACGGTTTATCATTCTATTCACTAGTACAGTTAATCGTGGCTCTATAAATTAATTAAATTGAAAGTTTAAGTTTTGAAAATCAAAGTGATTGGACTTGTAGTAAAGATTAAGAACCAAAAATCTAGAGTATGGCATATTTCAGTGGAACTATCATAGCATATTAAGAAGCTATGTTGTTCCGTAGAGGTGTTTGCAACCATATTTATTCCTTGATAACCATTTTTCTTGACCAATATGTGGTCCATGCTGCAGGTGGTGTATGTGGCCAGGAACCCCAAGGATGTCTGCATGTCTTACTATCACCACAGTCGTATATTTAACGCCCATGGCTTCGTGGGCTCCTTCAACCAGTTCGTCCAGTTCCTGATTGATGATGACTGTGAGTTCTGTCACCAGTTTATTGTTCTCAGACATGTATTATTTTATTCACATTCATACATGAAACACATTGGACTTTATTATAATGTTTTTGACTTCATAAATCAAGACAGGGTTCAAACTTTATTTATAATTCATATTAGAACTACAATATAGTAACCAGATTAATTCAACCAAAAGTCACAACCTTGATTATCACAACTCAACAGATACATATATATTATACAATCAATATCAAATGATGGAAAGTTCCTCGGCCTATACTTAGACAAGAGACTCAACTTCAGCACCCACATACAACACATAGCCAAGAAAGTCTCAACAACAGTTCGTATACTCTCTAAAATCAGATATTATGTACCTAACTCTGCTCTCCTCTCACTATACTACGAGCTAATCTATCCCTACCTTACATATGGTATCTGTGCATGGGGCTCAACCACTGCAAACTACCTCAAGTCCATCATCACCCAGCAAAAAACTGCTATCAGAACAACAACAAACTCGCTTTTCAGACAACACTCAGCTCCCTTGTTTGTTTAACTCCCTAAACATGATAAACATAACCTCACTTCACACATTCTCTTGTGTCAACTACATTTACAAAACCCTTTTCTTAGCTGCAAACCCTGTTCTGAAACTCTCCTTGGACAGATGTAATAGGACCCATTATCACCACACCAGAAATAAATATCTCTTTGATATCCCCAGAGTCAAACTTAATCTGTGTAAACATTCTTTGCAAATAAAGGGACCCAGTCTATGGAACTCACTCCCTAATGAATTGAAAAGCTGTCAAACATTTGCCTTATTCAAAAATAAAACCAAACTGTTCCTAATTTCATCTTCATACTTTCCTACCTTGTGCTTGAAAGTCGCACTGTATCTAGTGCTACCCAATCCCCCAATATATGTACCAATGCCATACAACTTCACCATTGTAATCATTGTTGTTATCTTATATCATGTTATACACATAGTTTGTTACATTATATCTTACAATAATCCTCAAATTATGCTAAAATGTACCTGTGGAGAATCCTTAAATTTACTTTAATGTTCCTACTTTTTTCTGTCAAATTTCATATATGATGTATTTTTTTATACTTTCTTACAATGAACCTGTAAACATTTTTATAATTTTGCTAGAAATTACCTCCTTAAAACTATATTTTAGATTAAGGACCTGCCCGAAACGCTACGAGTTCTATACAAGAATGTATAACTTCAAGTCTCTGTACTCTCATGAACCCAATGTACCTTCTTGTATATAAATAAATAAATCAGTAAATAAATCAGTAAATAAATAAATAAATAAATAAATAAAAACTTACATATAGGCTGATAATAAACTAAAATAGTCTAATACAAGACACTAACATACAATGACTCAATATGCTTGAAAATGTCCAGAATTTCAGAATGATCAGAAATCTTACTTTCCCAACATTCCGTTAGTGTTAAATGTCCGTTGATGTCCTTGGCAAATCTGATGCCTTTGACATCGCTCATCTTAAATTCAAATTCATATTAAAGTTCAAATGTTTATTTAGGTCACCTGAATAAAATTCAGTTCAGGTACATACATTGAAAATGAGGTGCAAACATAATGTTGGATTTATATATAGAGCTAGTCCATAGAATACCTAAATACTCATAGCGTTTCGGGCAAGGTGTGGGGAAAATAACCCCCTCTTAGACTAAAACTTGATACTAATTGAGATTAAAGTATAAATTTAGTTGAAAAAGGTAAAAAAAAAAAGGGGGGGGGGGAGAAATGGCAGAAATCAGCAATTATACAAGTTGGTCAACAAACAGTATTGTTTGAAAACAGCAAGATTTTGGTTGACATTTAGGGGTAAGGTAGGTTACATGGAGTTAATTAGATAGTACTTAGTTTTTCTCTTAAACTGGTTAAGAGAGGTACAGCCTTTGACATGATTGGGAAGGTCATTCCACATTCTGGGTCCCTTGATTTGTAGAGCATTTCTAGTTTGATTAAGTCGTACTCTTGGAATATCAAATAGGTATTTGTTTGTGGTGTGGTGCCCATGGGTTCTGTTACAACCTTTTAGGAAGCTTTTAAGGTCAGGATTGGCATTACAGTTCAGAGTTTTAAATATATAGAGTACACAGGAGAGAATGTGCAGTGACTTAATATCTAACATATTCAAAGATTTAAGTAGGGGTACCGAGTGATGTCTGGGGCCAGAGTTAGATATTGTCCTAATAGCAGCTTTGTGTTGAGTAATTAGAGGCCGTAAATGATCTTGGGTAGTAGAACCCCAAGCACAAATACCATAGTTGAGATATGGATAGATGAGAGAGTAATAGAGCGTCACCAGGGCAGGGCGGGGTACATAATATCTGATCTTAGAAAGCCAACAGTTTTAGAAACTTTTTTTGCTATATTTAGAATGTGTCCCTGGAAATTCAGCTTGTTATCGATGAGGACACCAAGGAATTTACCATCTACTTTGCTACTAATTTGTATAGTGTTTATTCTTAGGTTAATTTGATTTGAGGATTTATTACCAAACAAAATATAGAAAGTTTTGTCAATGTTAAGGGTGAGTTTGTTAGCAGTTAGCCAAAGATGGACTTTATTTAGTTCAGTATTCACTGTGACATTTAGAGCAAGCGGGTCAGGACTGGAGAAAATGAAAGTTGTATCATCGGCAAATATAATTAGTTTGAGGTGTTGGAAGACATTTGGAAATCATTAATGTAGATTAATGATTCACTTCCAACATGTTTTCAAATACTTGTTCAATTGTCACTTGCTCCCGGTGGTAACTCATAATTTTCTCTATCTTCCTTATTCTTGGTAGACACTAGCATCGGTGTTGCTAGTGAGTTCCCTCCCCCCTGCCCTTGTTGACATAGTAGTGTGAAGCCTCATAAAGTGTTTGTCTGCCGTGTCAACCAATTTTACTCGCACATTTCGTTTCTATCATTGGAGGGAAGAGGGGGATCTTTTGTTGCCAAAATATTTTGCTGAGATTGAGATCATGTAATATTAGGAGCTTAGTTGATGTTGTACATGCTCTGGTGTGTGTCACAATGGTTTACTTTGTTTACTGTTCCTTCCAGTGTTGTACGGTCCATACTTGGAGCACGTACGGGAGGCCTGGGTGAAGCGAGAGCATCCCAACATGCTCTTCCTGTTCTACGAGGACCTCAAGACAGACATTATGGGACAACTGCACAAACTGAACAATTTCCTTGGTACCTCACTCACCCAACACCAGCTACAGCAGGTACGTCACCTCCCTACAGACACCCACTGTCACCTACAGACACCCACTGTCACCTACAGCATCAGTGGGTCTGGGTCTGAATCAGACCCAGAGCATCGGTTGCATCACTACATTGCTCTACAATAAATCACTTGAACTCCAAACCTCTCCTGATATTCTGAAAAAGGCGAGAGTAACCCCAGGGAGGGGGCGCCTCGCCTCACTAAACTAAAGTCGTTCGTCGACTGAAGCTCAATGGGGCTGACGTCTATTCTGGCCTCGATTTCCTGTCAGGATTTTACCCCCGTGGTTATGCCTGCTATGTGTTGGGGCGTTGGCAGGAGTACCAGTACTTCGGGATGCATGCACTTAGGGGTTATCTTCCCTAGGCGCCCAGTAAGTACTTCCCTTGGGTCTCAGGATTATCTTCCCTGGGGCTTTCGGGTTTTCACTTCCGTTTTAAGTGAGTTTAAGTGAAGGGTTACAGCCTTCACTTAAGTTTACAGCCCGCTCGAATGCCCCGGGGCTGCACCGTTTTGGTTTTAGGGACCCGGACTTAGGGGCGTTGGTCGCTTTGACCTTGGTTCAAATGCACCCCCCTGAGTCCTTCCCTTTTTGATGTGGTTCACCCTGTTCCTCCCACCCCCGGCTGCCGGCTCCCAAACGTCTGAGGGTTTCGGAGTCGGAGCGAGGTTATGCTGGAGATGAGACTCGGGGGCAGGAGAGAGATGAAACTTTAGTTGGAGACTGAGATGAATGGGGCAGCTCCAGAGGCTGCCTCATTCGATGAGGGGATGGAGGCCTTACAGCCTGCTTCTCCTACCGAGGCTTCTGGGTCTTACCAGCAGGCTCCCTTCTTTGATGCCTTTCCCTTGGACTCTGGCTTTTGTTCTAGGGTGGAGAACAGCTCTGCCATGGAGTCTGGTTTAGAGTATTCTTGGGCATGGGGGGAGTCTGCTTGGGGCGTTTGGGGCTCCATTCGATCCCTAATTTGATGAAGGAACATTCGAAACAGTTTCAATGGTCCCCCCCCCCTCCACGTGTTTATTTCCAGGTTCCTTTGGGTTTCACGGCTTCAACTTTCCAGAGGGTTTTCACCTCTCAGATTTTCCCTGCGAGGTTTGGGAGACCCTGGGGACGTACCTGCTGCAAGACTCGGACTTTGCCTCTGTGATGGACCCGGTCTCTTTTTGAGTTCGGTTCCTCTTCTCCGTATTAGGTACATTGTGATGTTCCTGCGTCTTCCTGGCTTGCAGACTGCCACTTCTTTTTGCTTGGGACGTGGCACAGGTTCTGTCATACCCGCACGCTGGATTGGCTGAAGGTTACTACGATATTGCAGGTTTACCTGGAGGGTGCTTTTGAGCACCTCAATGTGTGCCTTTACGCCCCTGTGCTTCCTTGTGAGGTTGACTTGCTCCAGTTGCACGCTCAGGTCCCTTCCCTTTCGGCTGCCTTGGTTGTGGAGGATCTTCGCGCTCGCGTGCATCTGGCTTCGGTCCTGCACTTATTTTCCCTTCTTGAGCTGTCATCGGACTGGCTTGTGGAGGATGTGGAGGCACCGAGTGTCGGGCTATCGTCTGGGACGTTGGCCTCGGCTGCTAGGGCATTGGCGGCATTACTGAAACTGTATGCGTCTATAATCCGGGATGAGGCGTCTCTGTTTTTTGCCTATCGCCTCGCATGTCGACAAGCCGTCTTCACTCTCTTTTGATTCGGCTTGGGCCCTGGCTCTTAGTTTTAGTCTACTTTCTGTCCATTATTATTCTTGGACTCGGATGTTTTTAGAAGGTAGATCCAAAGTGGTGAACGGTATTCATTACAATGAATAAGTAGCTAGGAAACCTAATAGTAAATCAGGTCTTATCTCCTCTAGGGCTTCCAGAGAAAATGAACAATATAATAATATTGTATAATACATTCGAACAGTTAGTCATATTATTCAAGGCAGAAAAGGTTTCATCTTAATGTAAGAAGCTATAGTGATAAAGGTGAGAGTGAAAATAATGGAAGACCAGACAATAATGTGATGAATGTAATAGAGGTGAACCTGCAAGATATAACGTCGTGAAATACAAGAGAGCGTATTAAAGTCTTAATAATCTCATAAGGTTACTTTCACCATTGTATTATTTGTTTGATAATAATTATAACTGGATTATTGCTCGGGCTCCACAGGTAGCTGACTACACAAGCTTCCCAGAGATGCGGAAGAGAGAGGAGAGAAACATAATCAAGGACTTCTCAGAAGAAATCAACATGGAACTGGTTAAAAAACATGGAGGATTCTTCAGGAAGGGTAAGATACAACTTGAACTGGGCGTCATGAAGGTACAAAATAAAGATGAAACAAACTCGAAGTAAATAAAGTTGAGCACTTTTCGGGAAACTTAATAGATTCTTAAGTGACCAGACCTTGCCACTACCTACACCAGGTAACCTGACCTTGCCACTACCTACACCAGGTGACCAGACCCTGCCCCTACCTACACCAGGTGACCAGACCTTGCCACTACCTACACCAGGTGACCTGACCTTGCCTCTACCTACACCAGGCGACCAGACCTTGCCCCTACCTACACCAGGTGACCTGACCCTGCCCCTACCTACACCAGGTGACCAGACCTTGCCACTACCTACACCAGGTGACCTGACCTTGCCACTACCTACACCAGGTGACCAGACCCTGCCACTACCTACACCAGGTGACCTGACCTTGCCACTACCTACACCAGGTGACCTGACCCTGCCACTACCTACACCAGGTGACCTGACCTTGCCACTACCTACACCAGGTGACCAGACCCTGCCACTACCTACACCAGGTGACCAGACCCTGCCACTACCTACACCAGGTGACCTGACCCTGCCACTACCTACACCAGGTGACCTGACCTTGCCACTACCTACACCAGGTGACCTGACCTTGCCACTACCTACACCAGGTGACCTGACCTTGCCACTACCCACACCAGGTGACTAGACCTTGCCACTACCCACACCAGGTGACCAGACCTTGCCACTACCTACACCAGGTGACCTGACCCTGCCACTACCTACACCAGGTGACCTGACCCTGCCCCTACCTACACCAGGTGACCTGACCCTGCCACTTCCTACACCAGGTGACCTGACCCTGCCCCTACCTACACCAGGTGACCTGACCCAGACGCTGTACTCGAACAGCGCCTAATTCGAACGCTGTTCGAATAATTGGAAATTGTTTGTTCGGCGCTCATAAACACACGTCCCTGAAAAATCAGTGTCCTCGTAAAGTTGAGAGATCTTGAGATGATTTCGGGACTTAGCGTCCTCGCGGCCCGGTCCTCGACCAAGCCTTCCTTTTGTTACACACCCCGAGGAAGCAGCCCGTAGCAGCTGTCTAACTCCCAGGTACCTATTTACTGCTAAGTGAACAGGGGCATGAAGGGTGAAAGAAACTCTGCCCATTTGTTTCCGCCTTCACCGGGAATCGAACCCGGAATCTCAGGACTACGAATCCGAGGCGTTGTCCACTCAGCTGTCAGGCCCCTAGTAGCTATTGTTCAGTACACAACACCACTAGACTTCTGTAAACTTTCTTGTGATTTCATGGATATTATTGTGGGGGAGCCCCGTCGGGTCTGTGAAGCTATCGGACTCATATTAGCTACATCAGTCTGGGGCTTCAGTCATGTGGAGTTCTTATGCCTACCGGGAACCACGAGCCAGAACCTGGTTCCCTCAGAGGCGAAGGGTGCAATGATCTATGAAAACTCCACTCTGAGCGTATATTCATGTTTGTAGGGAGTAGTTTGTCGCTGGAGCGCACGGTGCTGCGTAGCTCACATACCAGCGGCGGCCGTCTCTCTCTCTGGTCTTTTTTCTTCTTTTTTTTTTTGAGATATATACAAGAGTTGTTACATTCTTGTAGAGCCACTAGTACGCGTAGCGTTTCGGGCAGGTCCCTGGAATACGATCCCCGCCGCGAAGAATCGTTTTTTCATCCAAGTACACATTTTACTGTTGCGTTAAACAGAGGCTACAGTTAAGGATTTGCGCCGAGTAAATCCTCCCCGGCCAGGATACGAACCCATGACATAGCGCTCGCGGAACGCCAGGCGAGTGTCTTACCACTACACCACGGAGACTATACTAGTCTTCTGTTGTTGTGGTGCAGTTTCAGGGGTTCTTTTCAATCTTTTTACCTTTTTCCTGCCTGGTGGACGGCTACCGGACTTCCCATTGGGTACGCTTATGTTGGTAGTCCTCCACTCGGCCCACGAGGCTGTTCCTGTCTGACTGAGTTCGAAACCACAAGTCAAAGGCAAGTTTGACTTGAGGTTTACGTTGTGAATATGGTGGCTCGTGTTCTCCCTGGTAACGCAATTGACTGATGAAAAACGAATTCTGATCTCTTACCATAGCGGGTGTCCTTGGGAGGTCGAGATGCTGGCGATAAGCTCCCTATTTTCCATCTCTTTTAAGGATCAGCGTGGTCAAGCGGTCAGCGTACTAGTTATGCACAGCTGCGCGAACACCTGTGCTCTCTGGGTTCGAGTCTCTTGCAGGGGTTGAGTTCAATGTTTGTTTGATTATATATATATATATATATATATATATATATATATATATATATATATATATATATATATATATATGTCGTACCTAATAGCCAGAACGCACTTCTCGGCCTACTATTCAAGGCCCGATTTGCCTAATAAGCCAAGTTTTCATGAATTAATTGTTTTTCGACTACCTAACCTACCTAACCTAACTTTTAAACTAAATATATATATATATATATATATATGTATGTATATATATATTATATATATGTATGTATATATATATATATATATATATATATATATATATATATATATATATATATATATATATATATAACTGAAAACTCACACCCCAGAAGTGACTCGAACCCATACTCCCAGATGCCACGCAACTGGTATGTACAAGACGCCTTAATCCACTTGACCATCACGACCGGACAAAATGAGGTGATAGCCGAGGCTATTTGAACCACCCCACCGCCGGCACTCGGATAGTAATCTTGGGCATAGCATTTTACCAAATCACCTCAGTCGTGATGGTCAAGTGGATTAAGGCGTCTTGTACATACCAGTTGCGTTGCTTCTGGGAGTATGGGTTCGAGTCACTTCTGGGGTGTGAGTTTTCAGTTGCATATTGTCCTGGGGACCATTCAGGCTTGTTCGCATTTGTGTTCCTCACGTGTGCCCCAAAGAATGAGGTGATTTGGTAAAATGCTATGCCCAAGATTACTATCCGAGTGCCGGCGGTGGGGTGGTTCAAATAGCCTCGGCTATCACCTCATTTTGTCCGGTCGTGATGGTCAAGTGGATTAAGGCGTCTTGTACATACCATATATATATATTGTGACGGTAACGCGTTGGTGTTCGGCTGTTTAAGGCTAGGGGTATGGCCTCGTCACATAGTTATAAAAAAAAATAGAAAAAACTGGAACTTCGTCTGTGGTAAGGTAAGGAGAAGACACACAAAACACAAGTAAACTTTAACAATGAAATTTTAATTACGTTAAATAAATCAAAACATGAATAAAATGCACAAACAAATTCTTATAATAAAATCAATCAAAATAATAAGAATAATTAGATGACACAATGAAAAGTTACGTTAAGGCAAAATAACAAGAAGTGCAATACAAAGTAAAATGGGAGGTGCTGGAATATTGGCTTAAAGCCACCACTTCTCTCAGTACACGCTAGCGTCTAGCCGGGAGGAGTGGTGACAACGAGAGCACTGAACATTCTGAGGTCCGAGGTTGGGGCGACCCCAGACATCAAGTAGTATGGGGGGGCGAGTACAGGTGCAGCCAGACCGGCGACCAATCAGCGGCGCCGGCAGCGATCAACATGTAGTTTGGTGGTTTGAGTCCGAACAGGTGGCTGGCTGCATACGTTTTGCTCACCCTGGCAAGCCTTGCTGGTGTTGTTGTCATTGTTGGACATGTCTTCCATAGTCGTTTTATATAACCACAACGACGTAATTGTGGAGGGAAGAGCAGGCTCAATCTCTTGAAGGAGATTATCGTCACAACTCTCCCCCGAAGCCTGCGGTTCTGGAAGAAGTACGTCGTTATGTGGTGGAGTAATGGATGGAGTCGCTTCTACTTCATAAACTCTGGAGAGATCAGGGGCTAAGATGTTGTCAGACTCTTGGTATAGCGTGTCTCCAGGTTGAATTTCTGCAGTTAGCAAGCCCATAGTAGAAGACGTTGAGATGAGAAGGGGGCGTGCTGCAGGAGGTGTAGGGTGGTGTGGTCCGTGTTGATGGTGGACCGAGCACTTTTCAGGGGTGGAGTGAAGTGCTGAAGCTTCAGGATGAGGAAGAGTAGCTCCTTGCCAATTGTTCCGTCGTTCCTTGTAGCAGTAGTCGCTGACAGGTGTATTCTTCTCGCCTCGTTGCTGCATCACGACACCACCATCGTCGGTACCATTGGCGTCGACATGGAGGATGAAGGGCTTATCTGACGAGGTGAGAGTGGAATTAGAAGAGGGCATAGGAGCACGATTATTATCCTGAAAGCATTTGGGAAGATCATTAAGGATTTCGGAATTAGAAAGCGCCGACTCCTTGTCAGTGCTTTCGGGAGAAGAAGCTGGGAAGGTCTCACTGTGGATGTAGGGTTCTGTGAATGTGGAATAGTTAGTCAAGACAGTGGGAGGAGTACCATTATATTGCTTCAGGAGGTTGACGTGGCACAGCTGGGTCTTCCGCCGCCTATCTGGAGTCTCTATGACGTAAGTGTTGTTGCTTCTGCACTCTTTGACGCAGTAGGGTCCTGAAAATTTGTTTTGTAAAGGTGAACCTGGGATAGGAAAATAGGCAAGGACGAAGTCTCCCGGCTTGAATTTTCTTACTTTGCTGGTCTGGTCGTAATGAGTCTTCATTCTCACCTGGGCTTTCAATAGATTATCATGGGCAAAGCGGTGGACTCTCTCTAGAATGTGTTGAAGGTTTTGAAGAAACTGGGGCACATTCTGATGCTCACTGAAGGTGGCATCTCTGAGAGAGTCTTTGAAAGCCTTAAGGGGAGTACGGCACTTACGGCCGTAGAGCATCTCATAAGGAGATACTCCTAGGGACTCATTGGGGAGACTTCTGAAAATACACATTATTAGGTCAATCTGCTTATCCCAATCCTTTGAGGTTTCACTACAAAACTTTTTCAAGAGTGCTTTGATGGTCTGATGACTACGTTCAAGAGAACCCTGTGAAGCAGGATGATAGGGGCTGGACAATACCTGTTTGATGTTGAAC